ATGACATTATTTGACTTTTGACAAAGACAGAATGGTTCACAAGTTTTCATTCTTAGACTTTCAAAAGGGTTGAGCTTCACGCTTGCTGTGAAGATATCCAAGTCTCCTGAAGCAATTTTGGTCTGACCTTCTATTATGAATTCAAATCTGAGTGCTAGCACCTCAAACTATCAAAATGGACTTTCTAAGAAGTTGAAGACATCTCTTAACTGAAGCAGTGATCCTAACATTCTCAGACACTTTCAGAGCTTCTCATCACAAAAAGATCATTAAGGTCCTATTTTGACCATTAAGGTCCTACAATGGGCTTGTTTCAAAAATCACTATAAAGACTTCAAAGTCACACACTTAACAATGATAAAGATGACTAAAGTAAGGTTTAAAATAGGTCATTTATGAAATCTAGCTACATAAACAAACTAGTAAAAATATTAATGACTATTTTTAGATACCCATCTGTCTCAATTGGTATTAATTCACTAATACCAAGAATCTATGACACAAAATCACAACTGATAGAAGGGAAATATCTCTGGAAATCCTAACATCCATGTCCTACTTTTGTTTGGCAGAAGTTGTCTTAAATTAACTTACTTTCAAGATCCCCCAAAAAGTACTAAAAGCAAACAACTTTAAAAATATTTACCAGGAAGCTAGTCTTCACACTGGAAAAAAATAAAGACCATATTGCTAGGAACTAGATTTCCAATACAACATTAACCTTGAGAGTAAATTCAGAAATCTTCAAATTATTATTTACTTTGCCATGAAATTTTGAGCAAATTCAACTTAATGCCCTATATGTAAAAGCTTTCGTATGCCAGAACCACACTCTACTACCAAGATACGGAAGAAAAAAGCAATGTCATTAGTTTCAATCACTCGATTTCTCATACCTCAAACAGCAAATATTAAAGCTTCAACCAAAAGCTAGTTGCAGTTAATAGAAGGCTTTATGCTACCTTCATAGTAGTCTGGTGGATTTTGTTGTTGTTAACTGAAAAGTTGTTAACTGTCACTGCAGTTGGAAGTAGCAGAAACATACCTTCATTTCACATTTTAATATAAATAAACATAAGTATTACCTTCCCTGGAAAATCTTTTTGCTAGCATTTTTCTGCTCTTGGATTGGATGTACCAATGAAGGCAACCATCTTGGCAGATACACAATAACCAAATGTGAGATGTGTATCACTCAGTGTTACAGGATGTGTTAAGTGCCACCCCTAACCTGAACATTCCTCCTCAGAATGTCAGAGTATCTGAAGAAGGACTAGGTCTTTCCAGTCTTTCCTGTTTTAACATTTACCAAACCAAAAAGTTATGTTCGTCACAATCCAACAGTTTTGAAAAGAATACCACTTTCTCAGTTACGAATAGTAAACAAAATAAACGGAGTAGATATCCTCCCTTTCCATCCTGAAGGGAACAATAAATATTAAAAAGGATATTTGATCCTCCAGAGATAAAAACCTCCATGAAATTTAATACCTAAAGATTATTCTGTTCTTGCCCCAGAGAACTTTATCTTCAAGCAAATGCACATAATTTTAAATTGCTCTGTCAGTTACACTAATAAAGACCAACAAAGAAGTACTTAATCAAGGCGCTAGTGGGATGCTAAGAAATCTCACAAAACTCACAAATCATCAGTTGTAACTAGCTACACTTCTAACTAGTACAACATGCAATTCCATTCAGATATAGTTGCACAGGGGCTGAAGCACAGTTGGAAGGTGGCTTATCAACAGCAAGAAAGAAAAAGCACAAAGTCATCCAATCATTTTCTGGTCTTTTTTATTATTCCTAACTAAATGGTTACTGCAGCATCAAATGGTTTTCATTTGTCCATCAACTTGTAAATAAAATATTTCAGCAAGTAACTATTTACAAAGATAGCAGTAACACCATGTATGATCCCTCAATCCCACCCCAATCTTCTGGAGCCTTTTGCATGAACAGCTCAGGGGCAGACAAGTAGCACTATGCTGCATTTTATTTAAACACAAATCTTACTGTTTTTAGAACAGTTTTTAAAATCATTTGACTCAATCAATTCCTTCAGGTTCCATGTTTTCCCAAAGACCAAAGAAAAACATAACACACACAATTCAGGCTGGATGGGGCAAGCTGATGTATCTGCAGGTGTCCCTGCAGAGGGGTTGGGCAAGATGACCTTTGAAGGTCCCTTCCAACTAAAAAGATTCTATGATTCATGAATTCCATCTCAGCATGATGTCTTAAAGATGCCAACTCACAATGCTGGTCTTGGAGAAAGAGCTTGCTCAAGATAGGTCACGTCAGAGACCACTATTCTACACCACTAGAAATGCATGCAGTAAACTTCCTTACAGAAAATCATTTCACAATGTTGAAGAACTCAAAAATCACATACTAAGAAAAAAAAAAATCACAGAATCACAGAATAAACAAGGTTGGAAAAGACCTTCAAGATCATCCAGCCCAACCATCCACCTATCACCAATAGTTCTCACTAAACCATGTCCCTCAACACAAAATCCAAACGTTCCTTGAACACCTCCAGGGCTGGTGATTCCACCACCTCCCTGGGCAGCCCATTCCAGTGCTTGACTACTCTTTGAGAGAAGTAGTATTTCCTAACGTCCAGCCTAAATCTCCTCTGGCGCAGCTTGAAGCCATTCCTCTAGTCCTATCATCAGTTACATGAGAGAAGAGGCCGACCCCCAGCTCACTGCAACCTCCCTTCAGATAGTTACAGAGAGCAATAAGGTCTCCTCCAAGCCTCCTCTTCTCCAGACTGAACATTCCCAGCTCCTTCAGCCACTCCTCATAAGACCAGCTTTTAAATGCTCCTTTAAGGTTCATTTTTACTTGAGCTTTGAAAAGATTCTACTATTTAGCTTTCTTTCTTAAGGTGCCCTCTCTGAAAGTATATTTTTTTTTAATGCAGTCGGACCACGAGTTCAGGCCTTAAAGTTCCTTCATCCAATAGTCATCAACTTAATTATTTTTAATATATTTGGTACAGCTGACTACACACAAACTTGGCTGGTTGCTATGACAGCCTCCCACAGTCTCTGGAATAACCATTTACTTGGACTGTTTTACTTTTTACTTTCTGCATTCCTGGTCTCAATTTTCAACTTAAGACTATTCCCAGCATGATTCAAATTATAATATAAAGTTCGTGTTCAGATCAACTTCAGTAAACATGAACAACTTAGGCTCAAACATTCAGGAAGTCATAAAATTTGGTATGCAGGAATCTTTTCAAGGCTTTCAAAACTAGGTTACAACAAGATATTATGGAACGGTTTTAGAACAGCTCATAAAAATCTTATTTTCTGGTTTGCTGTCAATGGGGTCATATTAGTGTCATCAATAAATACATGTATTTCCCTTTTATTTTCTGACTTACAGAAACAGATAAATCTCATTTAATCATCAGCAATGAGACATCTGGAAACTCATATGGCTTTCCAACCAACTTAAAAACCTATAGGAGCTAGAAAGCTCCCATAATCCACCTACCATCCCTTCTAAAAACCTTGTTCTAGCTCAAATATTTTATTAATTTAAAATCAACAGGAGAAACATTATGAAAAGGCAAGTAAGCCATGGCCTATTAACACATATTCAGCAAACATCTGTAATAAAAGCACATGTATTATTGTTGTTTTTTCAGCTGAGAACAAACAAGATAAGAACAGTTGCTCTTGATACATAACCAAAGGAATCGGGGGAATGAATTGTCCCACACCTCTATGGGAACAGATATTTTCGGTAAGTCCCTAAAGTAAAAAAAAAAAAAAAAAAAAAAAAAAGAGAGAGAGAGAGAGAGATAAACAAAGGTACACGAATTCATAGACGTGAGTTAATACTCATCTAGGGATATTTTTGCCACTCCATCACTGGATTTAAGCTGAGACTGTGTTTAACAAAATGTGCATTCAGCTCTTAGTATTCTTTCACATGTCATTCTACTGCATTGAATCTATTTATAGCTCTGCTAAGACTGTAACAACACTGTGCTCTCTTACAAGGTTCTCAATGATCTTAATGTTTGGGTTTTTTTTCATTGGTTTTTATAAATAAGTTTGGTTTGCTGTAATGTGGGTTGATTTTTTTTTTTTTTTTTTTTTTTCAATAAATGCATGGATAAGGCAGATGTCAAGCCTAAGTTTTTGCACCATGCCATACAACACCATACAACATCCAAATAACCATCATTCTTCCATGCCTAACCACTGAAAACCAAGAAGCTTCAAGAACCTTGAAAATGAGTATCTTTTCCGGTATCAATGAGGACTAAATGTGCTTACAGTTCAAAGTGCTCATCCGGAAAGAAAAAATTAAAAAGGGGGGGGAGGAGGGAGTGAAATTAGGCTCAAAGAGCTACAGCAGAAAAGAAAGATTATAAGGATGGAACAGAAGTACAAAAGCAGGTGCTTCAAACAAGTTTAGAAGAGCCCCGAAAACCCCTGTACCTTCATTTGCGCATAGCACCAGGTTTTTATTTTGCTAAAGATCTCATACCTATACAAAGAATTATAAATGCTGGTAAATACGAAAACTTTCATCATACTATTTATCTTGCAATTATCATAGAATTACTAAATGCTACTAAAAGCATCACAGTAGACAGTGTGCTATATGAGCTGGCAGCTGTTGGTAAGCATACATCAGTATCTCATAACTGAAAACCACCTTCCCATATTCAAATGACTTGAATCATTTTCATTTTCTTTCACATTATTCAACAATTTTTCACAGCACTGTTATGCTTTCATATCTTCACATTTCACTGATAAGAAATTACTACTTGCCATTTCTTTATCCTTTAAAAGAAGCAATTTCTCATTCTCAAAAAAAAAAGTCCATGAACATTGGCAGTAAGTACAAAGACTAGTTACAGTATCCTTAAGCCTTAACTTCAAAAAAAAAAAAAAAGTTACAGTAAAACTTAATTCTGGGAGCAGTTTTTGCTAAGTGTGATGATGTCACTGTGGACTACTCACCTCCCACATGAGCCTGCAATCTGTGTTCTCATCCAGTTCCTGAGGCATTCGTTTCTCCCCTGCAAAGGGGCCAAATTTTTCACCCTAAGAAATGATTATTAAAGAAAATGAATCAGTGGACACATGGACACACACACACACAAAAATAAAATAAATAGCCAGTGAATTTCCAAGCTCCAGCAGAGGTCTCAATTTTAGCTTCAAGTGGAAAAGGGCAGTTTTCCTTTGGAAACCCACTATCTGACAGAAACATGCACAACACTGTGAGTTCAACTTCAAGCTCATTCACACTCTTTTTACAGAGTGGTGAATCTCCTGAAACCATATTTCCTCTTCACACTTAATTTCCAATTTTGCAAATAGCATTTTTTCAGATTTTAAATAAGGGTTATATTTACAAGCCAGATTTCTTCTAGGATTCTCAGGAATCACCTTGCAGTAGACATCCTACTAAATGCAAAGTATCTGACATCTGGTAAGCACAAAGCTTTCATTAGATTTATTTGCAGAATTATTTGCAACACTACTTTTTGAAGTGCCACAGATCAAATCACTAAATAGTTTTGAGGTTTTGAACACACAGAGGGATTTATTTTTAAAAGTAGGAGTATGCACACTTCTGTGAATTAATTCAAGCCTTCAAAAACAGAATTAAAATGTTCTAACACCTGCTAGCGCTAACACATACTGTGAAAACATCCACTGATATGTCCTTCCAAATGTCTCAGGGTTTGTTGTTCAGTGTTTTGGTTTTTTTCTTTTTTCCTTTCTAGATGTCATGTCAGCAGCAGGGTAAATTCTATACCCAGTGCTCATATAGGTCTAACGTTTTTTTTTCCACTTGTTCTTATTTGCAATCATAAACCATACAAACTGGAATGCAGAATACTACTTTCCTTTAGGCAGTATTGAAATAGAAAGGCTCTAATATACTTTAAGGCATTACAAGTTATAACTACACAATCAGAAACAAATTTGTTTCATCTTCACAACATTTTGGCTAATAAAAGGATCAATCTTCTCTGAAAATATCCTCCCGCAGGCACATTCCACAATCCTAGGAACAGTCTGCTGCACATTTGCCCTCTTCCTTCCTTGCCAGTGTGTACAGTGTCAATGAAGAAGTGGCATGGAAGACCTACAGGATGATTCCTCCTAGAAACAACCAACTAAATTAAAAAAATAAAAAATTAAATCTGAGGAGGTAACAAAAAAAAACAAAATAGGCATTGAATAATAACGACACAGAACTCAGAAGCAATAGTTTGAAATGTGCTCAACAAAGATATCATTAGAAAGACCAGCAAATAAAGGAGCTAAAAAGACAAAAGCACCAGAGAAAAATTGGAGCCCAAATCATGAATGGGGACGCAAACATGGGCAGGGTTAGCAAATATTAGCAGGGATAGCAAATATTGGCACTGCGAGGCTTCAGCTCCTTCACTTCCCTCTGTTTTCCATTCCAGCTAATCATAAGAAGTCAATGGTCCTCTCCTGTCAGCTTACAAATCCTAGGATTTAACGTTCAAACTAATATTCCCTTCTTCTTTCACTCCATTTGCAATGAAGGTGAAATTTGGTCAGTACAATTACCTGTGCACAGCCACCAATGTCCTCATCTTCTCCTGAATGCCCTCCAGAAGCACAGCACTAACAGGGGCCATGCAGATGTTACAAGGGGGGCAATTTGCTGTGTTGTTCTCTTAGGTTAAGGAAGAAGTCAAGATGAGAGCAGAGTAATTCTGTTGTAGAGCTGTATGGTCCTTTCTAGGGTCAGTGAAGATAAGGTAGGCCCTTGTGGAGAAGATACCTCATGCCAAACTGAACTTGCTTTTCCCACATTTTTACAAAGCATCAAGTAGTTTTAGTGCAGAAAGGAAAATAGCTCACTACAACTGCTGAGCTCTGAAGAAGGGCATAATTGCATCTGCAGAATCTCCGGTTACTTGTAGCAATTATCAAGATGAAAAGAACTATTGTTTGACTATAATCTCTTCTCTTCTATGGAAAGAAAAAGATAAATTCTCCATAAATTTAATACAGAAATAATTTAAGCACATAATGAATACAGAACTTTCAATAACTAGTCTCCCAGACTCACTTCAGCAGCAGAATAACACTTCAGTGAGCAGAAAGTGATGACTTAATTCCTTAACTACTTTGGAAGTTTCCACAACCCTCACCTCAGTAATACTTTCATCCTCATAACCGAAAAGATGCCTAGCTACCAGATAAAGCACCTACAGGATTAATTTTACCCATCACTGAACCCTGCATCGCCTCTGGGGTGAAACACAGCAACAGCTTAGTAGTGCGTGCTGACTGAAAACATGAAACACCATATGTCATTCCTAGCTCAACTACTCCAAGGTAATAAACCTTTACTGCAATATGTTTGAGTCCTTCTGGAAGCTCAGAACAATAGAGAAAGCAAAAGGCAAGATGCCCACCTCTAATATAAAGAGAATGTAACGTGAACTGGAGATGATTCAAACTTCCAAGTGCTTTTTACGGCTCCTCAAACTTGGACAGAAAGCAGAAATTAGAGACACAAAACCTGGGATCTAACAACACAAAGGCCCATGGGGATAAGCACCATTATTAATTCAGCCTCAAAGATTATCTTTTTTTTCCAATACATCAATTAGTCCTAGCCAATAAGCACGCTATCATACTGAATATATAGATCAGAAACATAGTAAGACTTCCTCACAGATCAATAAAGCAGTCTGAAGTTATGAAAGGCACATCATTCAAAAAAAGCTGCTTTTCAGAACGTGACAAATCTTGTTCCGATCTCAGCAGAACACTGAGAAATGCAATAGCTCTCATTATTATACCAGGGGTCTTATCATACTGGTGCTGCAGCCAAACTCCAGATGCTGGAGAAAAAAAAAATTACAAGAAAATGACAGCTTTTATAAAGGTCACAAAACAAACATATTTCACTTTTACACCCTCAGAAAAAAAAAAAAAAAAAAAAAAAAATTGGAAACATAGCATAATGCCTGAAGGCACAAAGGCAGATGATAGGTAACAGCAGTTCAAAACATACCATTTCCAAAATTTTGCAAACACTTTAATATTCAGAGTATTCTTCATGGGTATTTAACATTTGGACAGTTGTTACTGCAATTTCTGATATAAGATCATCTGAAGTGTGTTTGACTTTCAAATACAGCTGTGTATTACATCCTATTCATAGGAAATAAAAGAATTACAGAATGGCCCAGGTTGGAAGAGACTTCAAGGATCATGAATCTCCGACCTCCCCGCCACAGGCAGGGCCACCAACCTCCACATTTAATACCAGACCAGGCTGCCCAGGGCCCCATCCAGTCTGGCCTTGAACACCTCCAGGGATGGGGCATCCACAACCTCTCTGGGCAGCCTGTTCCAGCACCTCACCACTCTCTCTGTAAAGAACTTCCCCCTGACATCCAACCTAAATCTTCCCTCCCTCAACTTAAAACCACTTTCCCTTGTCCTGCCATTATCTACCCTTGTAAAGAGTTGACTCCCTTCCTGCTTATAAGCTCCCTTTAGACACTGAAAAGCTGCAATAAGGTCACTACACAGCCTTCTTTTATCCAGGCTGGGGCACAGCTCAAGAACACAGATTTTATTTTTCAATCAGTGTCATATTCAGCAACTACTCTCAGTCTCAGAGTTCTGAAGAATTAATTACCAATTAATTACTTGTTTGACAGCTGTTAACTACTCTGTATCAAAGCCATGAAGCATAGTACTGCTGCCTCACTCATGACTGGGCAGGGGGAAAGTTGAAAGCACTTCAGATGTGATTTTTTTTCCATGGGAAAAAAGTAACACACAGCCTGGTAATATCCAGTGTATTATTTGTGCTTTTTATACATCTACTGTTCTCTGAACAGCTGAGGCCATACATTGTGCTTAGTTCTTTAACCATTTTTAGGAATTCTTGTTCTAAACAACGCCCAGTTTTCATAGGGCGACTCAGAAGCTGATTCCTCATCTTGCTGAGAAGCAAAGTCAGGCACATAGCTCTGACCAGGGCTTTGCATACCACATCTGTTGGTGCTAAAAGCACAGAGGATTCAATGCCAAACAAAAACCAAATCCACAATAAGCACTTCGCAACATGCTCCTAAAACTCTGAAAGATCTTACAGTCAGCGTCTCTGCCTTTCCTTTCTGCTTTTCACATGCAGTACACATCCCACAGGCAACTTGCGGGTTTTGCTAGGACGTCCTGAACAAGGAGCTCACACTGACACAGCTGTGCAGGCAGAGCTCTGACAGCATATACCTGCCCTGTGAAAAAAAAACAATTCAGAAACGATATGGAGCAGTTCTAGCAAGAAAAAAGATCTATTTTTCCTAGCATGCAGATCTAAGGACTTGATTTAGAACAGTATAAAGGAAGAGGATTCAGACTTTCAGCAGATACTGACACGCAGATATTAATTTTGGTCACTTTCACTCTCGAGTTCATTCCATTTCAGAGTCCAGGGATGCATGTGCGATAGCAGTCTACAACTTTCCTTCATGTGTGAATTCCCAAAGGTTTAATATGAGCGTTCAGACCGTCAGTGGAAAAAAAAAAGCCATTAAGCCAACCGATAAAAACCTCGATCCCCTTCTCCTCCTTTTATCCCTAAAGGAGGCCTCAGAGATGAGGCACATCTACCCTACGGTGTTTAAGCCCAATGGACACTGCAACACCTGGCAGTCCTCCCAACCAAGTCAGCACCAAAACCTGGCAAAGATGTAAAGCAAGACATTTACAGTAAGTAGAAGTGCACAGAAATGCAGGGTTCACAACTTCAGGTATGCCTCTAGCGGTTGAAACAAGTTGTTCAAACGTGTCAACTGAGCAGTTTTAATAGGGACTCCAAACGATTAAGAGGTTTTCCCTTCAGTCATTGAGCACAAGGAGCCACGTCCTGTTTGGGACAGGAGGGATTTCGGGTAGCTGCAGTCAGGGGGATCACACCCTCCCCAGTTCTGGGGACGCGGCCCCGTAGTGAGGAATTAACCCTTCGCCCGCCGGGCTGCAGCGACTCGGATGAGGCAGGAGCCTGCGCACGACAGACGGGCACGTCCGTCCCGGGAGGACTAGGCGAACCCAGAAGCATGAAATAAAGTCGTGACAAGCTGGGAAAGCAGCAGCCCGCAGAGCACAGCCGCCGCAGGTAGCCGGGCCGGCCATCCCGCTCCCCATTCCCGCCCAGGCACGCCGCCCCGCTGGGCACCGGCTGGCTCCGGGCAGAGGGAGCCTGGCCGGGCGGAAGTGGGGCGAGCGCCGAGCGAACAGGGCTGAGCCGCCCCGCTCTGCCGGGATACGTGGCAGCGGCTCCCCGCCGGGCCGCGCCGCCGCTCCCAGGCCGTCACCCACCTTCTTCACTTTGCGGGCCGTGTAGAGCCCCATCCCGTCCTGCACTTTGGACGACTTCAGGGCAAACCTGTCCGGCACGTACATGCCCAGCATTTTGCACCGGGCCGGGCCGCCGCCTGTTAGCGGGGAGGAGGAGGATTCCCGGGGACTTCCATTGCACCGGGGGAGGGGGCAGGAAGAGGGGCTGGGTGCGGGGCTCGTCCCGCTCCCGAGGAGGAGGAGGGAGGAGCCTACCCGCCACGACCTGGCAGAGGCGGCGGGGCGCCGGCAGGGGGCGCGCGCGCCCGGCGGGGCAGCGGTCGTTGAGAACCATTCGAGGGATTCGCGCCGTCGAGGGGCTGGCTCCGCTTCCGCAGCGACTGGTGCAGCCTTCTGGGTCGGGGCTCGGCTGTTCTGAGCAGGTCAGAAGTATTCTCTCTGGGCCTAGGGCCCAAAGATCTTCCTTGCTACGAAGTACTTTCTGCAAGCACTACATTTGTTCAATATCACTCGGGTTTACCCTCACCACCTCTCGCCTTAGCTTAGGAATGCAGACTTTAGAAATCATGTAATTCTTCACTTAGACAGATAGTTTTCAAAGAATACCAGAAATTTAGCAACCCTAAAGGAACCCAAAAGTAACATTGTTTTCTGTTGAGAAAGCAAACTTTCCAATATCTGGTGACATATCCAGCAGGGGTATTGTGTGCTGACCAGCGCTACGCACAATCTAGTTTGAACAGGGAAAAAGTTGTTGCACTTCAGTTGTTTGCTCTGATCTCACCAGAGTGCTTCCTTTTCAAAAAGCCACAATGCCCAGCACTGATTTTTTTTTTTTTTCTAGAAAGCTGATTAATTTCAGTTGGGATTTCTGTCCACATCATACACATTGCCGTGCTCATACAATAAGTTGAAGTAGAGACTGCTGTATTTGAACAGGGATTTGTTTGCATCTGATTATGCAGTTAGAAGCAAGTACAAAGGCTTGTGTGGCAAGCACAGGGAAAACATCAGAAGAAAAAGAAAAAAAAAAAGGTACATTTATAAACAGTTAAAGATGCTTCAGTACTCAAAAGCACACCCCTGGTGCATGGTGGTCCTCTGCTTGGTATTCTTCCAGAGACATTAACAAATGGATAAGTAGTAGAAGTTCAGTATTCAAAGTTTCTAATTCTCAAAAAAGTAAAGAAAAAAATCTTGTACTGGTATGAAAAATGTCCTGAGAGTCAAAAAACATTGTTGCAAGAATGACTTTGGGAATGAAAAGAATAATTGGGCATGCAGCTTTAAAACCTAGATTTGATTAACTAAACAATTAATTTTTAAAAGGTATATATGTAAATAAGAACTGTAATACCTTGAAAACAATTACATTGAACAGAGAGGAAACAAGTTGTCCAGGCCTACAGTTTCAGCGTTAAGAATAACAGCAAAAAACTTATCTTTTAATTAAGATCCAGTGTCAAAGCAACATCCGTAACCGAACATCTTCCTAGACTATAACACTTTATGGAATTGAGGCCAATCTGTCTTAGTTCATATAAAATTAAAATATTAGCATAATTTTCTGACATTTTCCAAGGTCTATGAATATTTTAAAAGTAATTTTCACTTTAGGAAGTCCTCAGTATTTTTCTCCACCAAAAAAAAAGAAAAAAAAAATTAAAAAAAAAAAAAGACTTAGTGATACTCCATATTTCACCTTAAAATAACTTTATAGAAATACTGCAATATAACTTGCTATGTGCTTACATCTTTTGCTTTTAAGCTCCAGAAGCAGGCATAGTTGCTTTCATTTATAAACTCCATCCATTATTATTCTAGCATGAAGTACAGCTGGTTGCACCTCCTTCAGTTTAAGAAAAATAAGAAAGAAGCTTTTGCACAAAACTGATGCCGAAACAATCTCTCCTTTTGTAGCACTATGCATGTTATCATGTGAATTGGATATTCACAACTGCCCTGGCACCATTACAGATTTCAGAGTTTAATTAGTCATCCATATATATAAAGTTTCATCTGCTGTTGATATTACCCTTAATGGTTCATAGAAAGGACGTTGCAAGGGATAAAGTCAGCCTTGTTGAACATAAAGGTAACACTGTAATTCATGCAGAGATGTGTTACAGCTCTTCTATTTTGTCCTATATGCAACTGCAAGGAGGGTGAGATCTCAAAACTCCAAATGACTCAGATTAGACAAGAATGATGAAAGGCTCATATCATGATGCATGCTTGTTCATCATTAATCAGCAGTAAGAGTGGAGCATTATGTTTTTGAGTTATTGTTTTGTATTTGATGCATATGTAACGTGGGTGCATATAGCCTGCTGTTGTCCTCTGCCATGAACACTATTCGACTGAGAATTCTGAATACACCAGAGAAAGGAATTTTCTTGCTGGCACAGCAAAGTCATCTCCAAAATGACCAATTGAACAAATAAAAGAACACTTCCACAAAAGCTACGTGTACAGTAGGTTTTGCTGGGATAACTGGAAGCAGTTTGAAGGCATGAAGCATTCATACCATGTTGTATAACTACAGTGACAGAATTAACTTCGCTGTCTCAGTCTCATGAACCATCAGTCAGTAGCAGTCAGGCTGGGATGCCTCCGAGGCCCCGTCCACATATACAAGCAACCACCAAATAAGAGAAAGTGCAGAACAATCAGATATCATTCTGAGTTAAGGCACTAACAAACAAGCATGGAAAACATTTGTGTCAGTCCGTTGTTAAGGCCATTTTCTGAGACTGAGAACTATGCTTTTGTGTCCAGTTCCCATAGCCTCTTACCAACAGCCTATGTACTGTGATCTGCATTGATCTCTTC